GGTGGGGCCTGCAGGGGCGGGGCCGACGTGGGGCGGGCGTCCGCGAGAGAGCAACCGCGGCGGCTTTCCCGGCGTGGCATCCCGCGCCGCACAGGTAAGGGAGGGCTGGAGGTCTCGCGTCTGGGGTAGAGCCCTTCTGCTCCCCGCCCCTCCTCGCTCCGGGTGGGACTTTAGTCTCCGCGCCCCCTCGGGCCGCCGCGCGCTGCCTCTCATGACTCCTCGGTCCCTGGCAGCACTCACACCCGGGCCGTCCGAGTTTGTCCGAAGGTCCCTCCCTCCCGGCGGGGTTCAGCTTCGTCCTGCCTGCCCCTTGGTCACCCTGTCACCACGGGACAGCCTCCCTGGGCCCGTGCCTGATATGAGGGCAGACAAACACGTGGGCAGTGCCCAGGGGCTTGGCCTGGGCTGTGGGGCGACCCCTCGGGACCTCACCCAGCCTGAGAGACTGCCAGGAGGGAGGTGACGCCGGCTAGTGTTGCTTGCAGTGAGAATGGCATGGGCAAATGCCTGGTGGTGGGAAGTGGATCCCATGTTTGGGAAATTCCAGTTACTACGCAGGAAGAGGAAGGAAAGCTGTGAAAAAAGCGACCAGAGAGATTGGGAAGGTGGGGGGGGGTCTAGAACAAGAAGCCTGGAGCCACGGAAGGGCAGAGGAAGGGTGCAGGGGTAGGGTGGGGGGAGAGGCCCAGGTGGAGGCTGGGACCCGTCAGCTGTGACAGTTCAGCGCCCCCTCCCTTGGGCAGCTCCTCCCTCCTCTGCCTACCACTGAGTTTGCTGGATGATCAAAGGGGGTTCTAAGGCAGCCCAGGAAAAAGCCTCCACCGCAAGCAACACTTCCTTGCCTGTCCAGACCAGGAAATAACAGAGTGAGTACCATGACAGGGTGTGGCCCAGGGACCTGAAGGGCCAGGCCTTGGAGGAGGCAAGGGAGAGAGGGACCCAGCATGGACAGAGGCCTAAAATGCAAGAGAGAGAGAGAGCGCGTGAGAGAGAGAGCAGGTCTGGCGGCTGGTTAGATTGCCACGGGGACTGGCAGCTGACTCACCTGGACATGCCAAGACTAGCCAGTCTGTCCTCACCCCGCCCCATGGTGAACATGAAGCCTGCCTGGGAAGCCTAGGTACTTGCTGTGTGCCCTAAGGTGAGTCGCCCAGCCTTTCAGGTGAGCTTGGTGGGACTGGGAGCCAGAGGCCTGGGTCTGAGCCCTGTACATGCTCTATGGTTAGTGTCTCTGGGCCCTCCCATTCCTTTCTGGGCCTCAGTTTCCCCATTATGTACATCATGTGCAGTCTACTACTAAGGAACATTAGAGCTGGATGGAGTGAGAGGGTAAGGAAGCCATGCCCTTAACCAGAGAGGAATGGGTTGGAGGTGGGACTGGGGTTTGAAAGGGGAGACTCCTGCCGGGTCCCTGTGGTGTTAGGTTCAGCACCTCTTCCTCCTCCCTCGCCAGTGTACACACTCAGGCACACTCACGCCTGGCCTGGCCCCTGCCCTCACACTCTCCTCATTGCCTGCGGGATGAAGCCCCAGAACTCCCTAGCCTGGGGGCAGAGGCTCTCGGGACCAACCAGACCAGATGTCTAGCCTCAACTGCAGTCTTCTCCCCACCCACCGTCTCACCAGCCACGTTTAACCTCTGGCCTTTCCTCTGGGCAGTGTGACTTGGTTTCCTAGGGTTAGAGATCCTTTTGGGGCCACAGACCTGGCCAGTCTGTGTTGCCAGTGTTGCCAGTTTGTGTCGGTAAGACTCATCCTCAGGGGCCCCAGGCTGCACTGAGAGATAAGGGAGACTGAGCAGGTCCCCATACCCAGAGGAGCTCCCCTCCACCGGTTTATCCTTTCTAGGGAGAACTGAAATAGTTTGAAAAGCTGTGATTTAATCAGACCTTCATTTCACAGAGGAGGTGATTGAAGCCCAGAGAAGAGCGGGGCTCTGGATAAGCTGGGGCATGGCCAGGGCCGAATAGCTGGGCAGAGGTCAGAAGGGGGTCCTGTGGGAGCTACTGAGGTGTGAGCCATGGGTCCAGGGTAGGGGAGCTTCTGCCAGCCCCATGGGGGCAAGGGGAGGAAGCCTAAGGGGGAGAGGAGTGCCCTGGGTGTGGCATTGGTTGGGGTGGGCCCCAGGTAAGTGTCGGGGATCTGATGTGCAAGGCCTCCCAACAGTGAGTTATCTGCTGCAGGTCCCCAGCTCACCCTGATCTGGTTCCTAGTCTGTACCTCCCATCCTGGCTGCACCCTCCCCCCTCCACCTTTAGCTGGTGTCCTCACCTCTCAGCTCAGACCCCGACAGACTGCCAGCTGAGGGTGGAAAGGTCACTTCCCAAAGGGTCTTTCCATTCCACCAGTTTCTGGAGATATGGGTGAGGGTCAGATGGGCCCAGGCCGCACTTGCTGTACCCCTGACTCCTTGGCTGTGTTGTCCTGGTATTCTGAGCTGACTTGGAGCAACCCTCCCCCCGTCCTCCACAGGGGGCTGGGGCTGCTGCAGGGGGCCAGCAGAAAGAGAAGCCTGCAGTTGGGTGTCCAGCCATTTCTCCTTCCTGCTTCTCCCTCCCAAGGCCTCGCCCTCCTGAAGCAACAACAGCAGGAAAGGTGGGGCGGGA